ATTTATTGGAATAGAATTTGCGTACCAACGAGGAATTCATTATATTTCAAACTGATTGCGATTCATAGAAACTGTCGAATGAATGTTTAATTAACACAGTCCGGATTTATTGGTAGCAATTGAGAGTCAGGGAAATTTGAAATTCCGAACAACAACTGAACAACTGAATTATACTTGGATTTCAAATCATTAGAAACTACACCATGTTCAATATTAGTTCAAAAATGTCAATTTTATCTTCAAGTCATCATTTGGATTTCAAGGAGCATCATTTGTATTTCAAATTAGTCAATTCAATTTGGAAAAGTATCAAATGTATTTCGAAATTATCATTTCAATTTCAGAATACGCCAATTGTATTTCAAGTTAGTCATTTTCCTTTCAAAAGAACAATTGTATTTCAAAATTATCAAATTAATTTCAAAAACAAACACCTCAAAATCCAAAATAGTCATTTGTAATTCCAAAAATATCGAATAATTTCGTAATGCATCATTTGAATTTCAAAACTGAAGAAGCAAGGTGATAATTCCATTCACCGTGTTATTGAAACGTTCATTGTATCATCATTAAAATGATTAGTTTCAAAATCAAAATGATGGATTTTGAGATAGAAATTGAATGTGATACAATTAAAATGATTATTTTGAGATATACAATTGACCCATTTTGAAATTGAATAGATAATTTTGAAATCACATTCGATGATTGTTGATAAAAAATGATTGATTTGAAATACAAATGACGCATTTTGAAATAGAATTGATAATTATGGAATACATTCGATACTTTTTGAAATTAAAATGACTGATTTGAAATACAATTGATACTTTTTGAAACCAATCTGACGTTTTCTGAACTAAAATTAGAGAAGGTGTAGAAACCATACTATAGTTGAATAAACCACAAAGTTCGATTATACTGTGCATTATACTGTCTTCCACTCCATATTGAACAAACTATCGAATTAATTGACAGATGACAATGAAAATTATCATGACCTGACGGGCGTTTCTTGGAACAAGTTGAAAAATCAAGATTCTGACTCAATTGAATATAATTTGGAAAATAACTACTATGGATTTGACCTATATTTAGCTTTTCATGTATCCAACTTTGAGTCATATTTGCACTTCTCGTCAAGGAGTTGTTATAAAATATGATTCTCGCTGTGGAGATTGATGAAGAATTCAATATTGATAATATTATATCTATCCAATTATCACGAATTCACTAAACTTAATTTTATTTGGCATCAAGTCGATTTGATTCACCCTAATGTTTTTGCGTGGGATCTAATGCACTCAATAAAAATAAAATGATAATACATTAGGGATTAACGATAAATAACTTTTGAACGAAGTGTTAGGCCGCGGACGCGTGTCGCTCCTCCACACACGTGGCCAGTCACGTGTCTTGAATTTATCCTCGGTCCCATTTCGAACCGATAATGGATGAAAAAAAAAGTAGAATTTTCGTGGACCGCATTCATGGTAGGCGTTTCAGGTCTTCATAAACAAAATATAAATAATTTTCAAAATTGACATCAACAGAAATAAACTAACAGTTATTAGTTAGTTAGAAGTTAGTTCATTCTCATGACGAAGTTTTTTCACGTTTATCTGTGAAAACAATAAAATATTCTCAAAGTGAGTTCCACCGGTATGTATACAGAGTGTCCTTGAACATCTCCTCTTCCTCTTATCGTCTCGGAAATGTATAGAGGGGGTCAAATATCCTGAAAAACCGTTTATAATCTAGACTGCTATTGCCATTAAATATGAGTTCATTCATCTACGAGGTCACGATATATCTTACTCTCAGTCCGAAAACTGGACACCAATGAGGGCTAACATCCACCTGATCGAGCTACTGGAACGTGAAGTCAGAGTTGGTAGAACTGATGAATGAAGACCTTGGGACCAGAAGGATTTTGTCAAAAATCAGTTGACCAAACTGAAGTACTCTGTATTCCATCTTCAATACCATGTTAGCCAATGCTAGCTCCTTGATCACAGATGGCATTACTATCATAAGATCCCGTTTTGGCAACGTCATTATAAGTATTTTGCATAAACGAAGACAAGCCACCGTTGAAATCAACATGGCGTCAGAGGAACCACGTGATTGTGACAGAAAATTAGACTTTTTCCAGTTTTGTGATGAAGATAGTGAATCAGATCCCCTTTTTATGCGGATCATTATAACCCTTTCAATTATCGGCACATTCAAAATAGTTATTTATGTATTAAGGGAATTATGAGGGCCTTAATTACCGATGGCAAAGTTTGCGTCCCGAGGGCCTCTGGCCCGAGGGACAGCAATTGCCTGAGGTTATTGAGGCTCAGTAATTCCCGTGATACATAGATAATTTTATTTCTGACTGATTTCATTCATTAGATACCTTCCCGATTGGAAGTTAGACATGTTCTTCCGTATAGTTTCAATGTCATCAGAACGTCAGATGATGATCTTGACTACCGCGAATTGGAGATTCCTTATTGCTACGTTACTGCGTGGTTGTTGCTATGCATTTCTTATTTAATTATAGTTAGAGGGAATTATAGCATCTATAACGTCCCAAGGGAGTTATGACCCTCATAATAGATATCGTAACTATGACGATATAAGCTTATAATGTCACTGTCAGAAATAAAAGAATAAAGCCACATTTCTTTAATTTGGTAACTAAAACATCTTTCGATAGCAATGTGTGCAACTATCACTCTATGTCTGAATACATATTTGCCAACAAATGTTAACCTCAGTTTCGAAAAATACAACTTGAATCGATTCTACGATTCGAGAATATGGAGAAACATGCGATTTCTCCGAATCTACCTTTTGTGGCTTATCTTCATCTGGTCCCAAGGTCTTCAAATATACACTCACCGGCAAAAAAAACCGGCCACCAAAAAATTTAGTCAAGTTGTTCGCCCTGTAACTTCTTTAGTTCTTGTTAGATTTTGGTGAAATTTTGAACAAATCGTAGATTCATGTTCCGGAATGTTAACCTGAATATGAATTCCCAAAAAAGCTGATAGCTTGGTCATTATACAGGGAAAAACAAGAGTTACTCATTTACCCATAACTTCTTAACGCCCTGTGGCTGAAGTGAGTGGTTGAACTCCTCTTCATTATGTCTTGGATTGAAGAGTATTCTTTTCTCATCACAATAGTTTTTGATTCACGTCGATATCTCATTGTTTGGAAAAGATACGATGGTTTTAAGAAAGTATGGAGTTATTCAAGTTTTATTTAGCAATCATCAGAACGTACATAAACTTATCGATCGACAACTTAAAAAAAACATCTTTAAATCAATATGGCTTATTTCCACATTGTTTTCTTGGTATACTTCCCATATTATTGGAGACGGCTTTGTCTTGATGCATGACAACGCCAGACCACACGTTGCTCGAATTGTAACCGAGTATTTGAATGAGGTCGGAATTCTAAGGTTTGACTGGGCCAGCATGCAGCCCGGATCTCAATCCTATGGAGCATCTTTGGGATGAACTACAGAGGCGCATTCGTCTACGTCCGGCATTGCCAGAGACTCTTCAAGAGCTACGATTCGCCCTTCAAGAAGAATTTGAGGCAATTCCTCAAGACTGCTTGAGAAATCTGATCAACTCGATGCCACGGCGATTAAATGCTGTAATTCAAGCTCGAGGAGGGCATACTCGGTATTGAATACATCTAGGAGATCTACTTTTCGTTTGTTTTTTGTAATTAAGGTTTTTTGTGTAGGTGTGTCTACGTTCTGATTATTGTTAATAAAACTTGAATAACTCCATACTTTCTTAAAACCCTCGTATCTTTTCTAAAAAATGAGATATCGACGTGAATCAAAAACTATTGTGATGAGAAAAGAATACTCTTCAATCCAAGACATAATGAAGAGGAGTTCAACCACTCACTTCAGCCACAGGGCGTTAAGAAGTTATGGGTAAATGAGTAACTCTTGTTTTTCCCTGTATAATGACCAAGCTATCACCTTTTTTGGGAATTCATATTCAGGTTAACATTCCGGAACATGAATCTACGATTCGATCAAAATTTCACCGAAATCCGACAAGAACTAAAGAAGTTACAGGGTGAACAACTTGACTAAATTTTTTGGTGGCCGGTTTTTTTTGCCGGTGAGTGTAGTTACTTCTTCTTTTGGTGTCATTTGTTCTCTTCCTACAATATTTTCTTCTCCGTCAATGTAAGAACTGGTCGTGAAGTATCACATTGAGAGTGAGTCTGCTCAAGTCTTTTTTTAGGTTTTCTATTTGTTCAAATAGTCTACATTATATTTTTCGATAAAACAGGTCACAACATTTAGGGCTATCTGGCAAGATTTTGGGACTTTTGACTTCGACATTAACCTCACGTTTAAGTAGCGCCTACTGATGAAAATGTTTGCACTCATTGCCATCGGTCGACGTCATAAATGACAGTGGACCTTTATGCGCATTCCGCAGAAGCATCTATGAATAATGTGTACAATTTGACTGGGAATTTCAGGTGGGGTGAACGACACAATATAGCGTTCTAGATTATGTATGTATGTCGGTGGTTTTTTCCTTCTTCTGGTTGCAATTGCAACTTCCGACTATTGGATGCAATAACAATTGTATTACTACAAGTTTCCATCCAAACTTCACTTACTTGATAAAAGAATCAGACTAAAACCAGATCACTTCAAAGAGGAATAGTGATATATGCGCAATCTGCTGCCAATGTGGAAGACGAAGAAAATAATGGAGGGATGAGAGAGGTCGCAACTCTTGACTGCAACCAAAAAAGTATATTATGCGCAATTTACATGCTAAATAGAGGAATGTGAATTGCAAATGGCGCATATCGCTACCCATACGTCGTATGTTTTACTTTGTCTCTGTACGTTGAATGACAATTATTTAAAATGTTCTTCATGAGTCATGAACTGGAGAATATCATACACCGATATCGATATATTCCAGAGTTGACTGTTCGTTTTTGTTTTTCAGGATTGTAAGGAATAAGGCTGCCGAGAAAGCGAAACATGCGCACCACATAGCGACAAGTAATGCTGGCTCGTCAGCGACCGGGGGACCTGTATCTGTGATCGCGCATGCGCCTGCCACCCAACTGAATGAACCCAGGTCGGGAGGTTATAGTATAAATGGAATATTAGGCTTACAACACGACCCCAACGGCAATAGCATAAAGAGGAAGAGGATAGACGACCACGGTAAGTTGTTCGTCTAATGATTTTATGGAATTTTGCTTAATGGCGACTGACAAAAAAGTCAAAATTACGGCTTGAGAATGCCTCAGTGTCAACATTTATGCTCTGTATAAGAGGATAATGAATGAAAATTAATGACATAAACTGTTTTCATCATGCTCATTCCTCGGTTATTCGAAGACTTTTCTTCAATTAACTCAGAAAGTTCTTACGGCTTTTCACTATTGGTATCATGACAACTATCAGCAATAAGTAGAAACAAATATTCAAATTGCAGCATTCAAAATGTCATTACCTCATTCTCATATCTTTTGGTACCTACATTACTTTTAGCCCACACAATTCAATCAAATTCAGGAATCAATCACATTTGCATTCACATCGTATCTCTACGAGGCACCCAGAAAAAATGCATGGTTCCTCATTAGAATTCCAATGCCTATACCAAAATCTCTACCATATTCTACATGTTATTCACGTGAATAGCTGGGTTTGTAGATGATATTCTCTAGTGGAGAAAGCAATTCCTACGGTCGGTTCAGATTAAAAATGATCATCTTTCAGCAACATTGACCTCCGCGGCTGATAGTTCATAGCCGAGCATATGGAGGCTACGAATTCAGCCAAGAGGCAGTCAATCCAATTTGCTGCCATGTGACATGTGAAATATATAATTTTTTCCAAAAATGTAATAAAACCAATGTTGTGTAATTTTTTATTGAAAACTTCATCATTTTATGTTCACCCAATGTCAATGCGATTTTGATTACCAATTTCATTCAAATCACTTGGAACGTTGCATAGTCACTAAGTATTTCTACTTTGGTAGATAAAGTTCACCTTTGCTGCCTGTCAAGTGTCATAGGGAAGCCACTTTTTATACCGTCTGGAGAAAACACTTCCATAGGTGGTACGTTCATATCCTCCATAACTATATTGATGTTTGAGAATGAGATCCTTACGAGTACGAGGCTCTAAGTAATTCAGGAATGTATTTCAATATCATTTTCCGTTTTGGGATTTTTTATTGTATTATATCATCCATCATATATCACTGTCATTATATTGTGATGTCAAAATAAATTAAATATGAGAAAAGTGGGTGATTTTTCGGACATTTGCCACTTCTTGGTGGCTCTGATTGGTTTGATGATCTGCTGGTATATCTAGGTTTGCATCGGGGATCCTATTGGATTTTCCACAATTTCTGCTGTTTCGCCACCATGAAGGTCGTTGGTGTTTCTGGCAGTAGAAGATTTTTGATCCACAATCCAGGATTCGGAAACACGCCGTTCAGTCTGTCAGTCTCTTTCTCTTTCATCTCTCAAAGTCGTTCCGTGACAAGCAAATCTTTCTAGACTGCCAGTTCTAGAAGTCCATAATTTTTTTTAAGTGGAGTGTAGTGATGGGAGGGTTAGAAAATAATGAGATGATTTTGTGTTTCAAAACCCTCACAAGATAATAGGTTACAAACATGAGTGCTAGGTTGCAGTCCCACAAGATTCTGTGTTCAGTGGTGTGATTTTTATAATTTGCTTTTAGATCCCCAGTCTGAGATTATTTGGATCGTGGTTCTATTCCCACTCATGGTCTTTGGAATTTCAATACGATGATATCCAATTTCCAGTCCATCCTTTCCTCCGTTTTGCTTGTCAAGTTATGACGTGAACATTTTCCCTCGCCGCTGGAACAGCACACTGAGCCCAACAAGTTGACCTCCTCGGATCTACGTCTCTCTGCGTTTTGTGTAAAGTCCGTTCAGACTGTAAGTCTCTTATTCTTTTATCTCCCAAAGTCGTTTCGTGACAGGCACTACTTTCTAGATTGTATACCTATGTGCCAGTTCGAGGTGATAGGCACAAGATATAAGGCAAGAAACATAAGTGCTAGGTTCAGTGTGTGATTTTCATCATTAGTCTTGAGATCCCCGTCTGAGAATATTTGGTTCGTGGCTTTATTCCCACACATGGCCTTTGGAATTTCATGTGCGATGATATCCAATTTCCAGTTTATCATTTCCTCCGTTCTGCTCGTCATGTCCTGACGTGAACATTTTCCCTCGCCGCTAGAACAGCACACTGAGCCCAACAAGTTGACCTCCTCGGATCTGCGTCTCTCTGCGTTTTGTGTAAAGTCCGTTCAGACTGTGAGTCTCTTATTCTTTTATCTCCCAAAGTCGTTTCGTGATAGGCACTACTTTCTAGATTGTACCTATGTGCCAGTTCTAGGTAATAGGCACAAGATAATAGGTTAGAAACATAAGTGCTAGGTTCAGTGTGTGATTTTCATCATTAGTCTTGAGATCCTCGTCTGAGATTATTTGGTTCGTGGCTCTATTCCCACACATGGCCTTTGGAATTTCATGTGCGATGGTATCCAATTTCCAGTTCATCATTTCCTCCGTTTTGCTTGTCATGTCCTGACGTGAACATTTTCCCTCGCCGCTGGAACAGCGAACTGAGCCCAACAAGTTGGCCTTCTCGGATTAGGACATCCACGACGTTATATCGCGTTTTGTGTAAATTCCGTCAGCGTGAAATGAGCGAGCGCGCGGCCCCACGCCTCCCCTGACCAATAGGCGCCGCCGACGGATTATGAAGACATCACGCGCGTTGCTACGCGACCGCGAAACCCCTCACGGAGCGGTCCGTGAGCCCCCGCAGAAAGCCTTCCAACCCCCGACTTGCATATGTTTACGCGGTCGCTCTCCACCGAGTAAGGAAAATGCCGGGATGTGACACTGCATTATATAACATTATCTCAAACTTTCTATCAGTGAAATATTCAGTTCTCACAGTTCAGTTCAGTTCTTCTAAAATGAATTATAGTTCAATCATTTGGTAGTTTGGACAGGAAAACATTGCTAAAGAATTTTCCCCCACGGATCCATATGGTTTTTGGGATGCTGAATCTGAAAATGCAGTTATCGACTAGATTCGGATATGGCTCGACCATGGATATGGCAATATTATGAAAAATCGGGAGTTGTTTAAAACCCATTACCTCCCACGGATATTTTTTTTATATTCATAGGAATTTTGTAATAATTTGCCCCTCCTTGGAAAAATATTGAAAAAAAATATTTCTGGCAGGGTTTTGAAAAAAATGTTTGTACTCAAATGAGTACGATGGGAGGGTTCATAGGAAAAAACTCAAAATTTTGAATACTACAAAAAATTGTTCAATATCGTTGTCGTCGGGGCTGTTAAATACTAATGTCGCTATCCATGACTCCTTGACTTCTAGCAGCTACTTCAGATGAAGGAATGGCATCATCTGAGGAGCACGGAATTTCAACTTCTCAAGGAATATCAATGGAGAAGTTAGATATACCTGGGGATATACCAATATCGTTTTTGTCAAATTCTTCTTCATCTCGTTGAGTGTCTACCCCAGAAGAAATAATAATTATTTCAGGCTCACGGTTTGAAGAAAGAACGTCATCCATTCCTTCTTCTAATGTTTTGAAACGTCTGCCATAGAAATTCCGAAATTTATCACACAGATCTTCCCATTGTACCCAAATGAGTACACCAGTGTTTTTTTCTCGGTTATATGGGGAATAATGAGAAATTAAGTGCCAGGATAGTATAAGCAACTGGAATACATACCTGGTCAGCTAATTCACCGAGCCAAATGAAAATGTTCAACGGGCGCAGTGCAAGAAGTAACTCTTGAAAACAAGATATGAGTCAACACTTGTACACACAATCTCTTTAGTTGACATGATCGGCATTTACGCCATTCGTAAGTACATCTCAATATTGCAGAATACTATACCACGACATTATTTTGTTGAAAAATTTCAATTGATGTCGATAGTCGACCATAATTCGCATTTTACTCAAATATATTTTGATATATAGCTACCTGAATTGTAGCAGATTGTCAGCTGAACTAATTCCAGAAGACTTCTTCACGAGTGTAAGAGGACATATTTGCATTGAATGAGCATATATCATGATCATTTCCCTTTAGGGTATTGTAGTACTCAAAATGATAAATAAAATGAGTTGTAGTAGAAAAGGCTTCTAATACTGTTACACTTGGTTGTTTCTTGTCACATCAGAGGTTCAAATACAGGTTACAGTATGACAGTTTCTTTTTCACAGTGGTACATGTGTTAAGAATTCAGGAAACTTCCAATGACTACTTTATAGAATAGTTTTGAGCAGAGACAAAAGTCAAAAGTGCATAGCACAAAGGCAAAAGTCGCTCGAAATTGTAGAACTCCGTGTCTTTGGCAAAATGAAAAAACATTGTTCTTTGCGTTCAAGAACTACTTCTTGAACCAACTAAATTAAATCAATAATCAAATTGGCTCTTAGGCTTCTTCGCCTTACTGATGAGACCCGGGAGGTCGAAAGCTCACACATTGCACCCTAACATATCGTTAGGTTAAGGTGAAACCCGAATCCCAGTTTACTACTTCCGGGTCTCATCAGTTAGGCGAAGAAGCCTAAGAGCTAATTCGATTATCAATTTGACTACTTTATATTCATCATATCTGCGATAATGACTCGAAAAGGCGAAAGAACTGAATGAGCAATGATGAGACTAAATAAACATTAGTAACATTGGTTCCATACGGTCAGTGGTCGAAGATATTTCTAACAACAGGGATGTAAGCATCAGTTGGTCGTTTCAAGTTCCGCTTTTTCCTTTTCCCAGTTCCTGATCACAATGGCAGCCCAGCGTTTGTTTTTTTTACTCGCACTGATACATCAGGATATCAAAGTTTGATGGAGAACAAGTCGCGAACACATGCATTATTATATTCCTTCACGCGGGGTGAGCAGCTATGGGTTCGAATCTATGCCTGGTGCGTCGACCGTGAGATTTATAAATTTATATTTTGACTATTCCATTCTTCAATTCAGGGTTATAATTTATTATTAGACCCTAACACGACGCGTTTAGGGGACTACTCGGATCGGATTACGTTCTGATTAGCTTTAATTTCGGTTCGGTTATGGGTTGAATTTGATTCATCAAGCCAAGGA